TATTGGAAATGTGTACTGAGGGAGATCTCAGACTCCCACCCTTATTGGAAATGTGTACTGACGGAGATCTCAGACTACCACCCTAATTGGAAATGTGTACTGAGGGAGATCTCAGACTCCCACCCTTATTGGAAATGTGTACTGAGGGAGATCTCAGACTCCCACCCTTATTGGAAATGTGTACAGACGGAGATCTCAGACTACCACCCTTATTGGAAATGTGTACTGAGGGAGATCTCGCACTCCCACCCTTATTGGAAATGTGTACTGACGGAGATCTCAGACTCCCACCCTTATTGGAAAAGTGTACTGAGGGAGATCTCAGACTCCCACCCTTATTGGAAATGTGTACAGACGGAGATCTCAGACTCCCACCCTTATTGGAAAAGTGTACTGAGGGAGATCTCAGACTCCCACCCTTATTGGAAAAGTGTACTGAGGGAGATCTCAGACTCCCACCCTTATTGGAAAAGTGTACTGAGGGAGATCTCAGACTCCCACCCTTATTGGAAATGTGTACTGAGGGAGATCTCAGACTTCCACCCTTATTGGAAATGTGTACTGACGGAGATCTCAGACTCCCTCATTGGAGGTTTCAGATGTTCATGTCTATGCACTCTCTGGACCTTCTGCTCATGCAAAAAAAATCCTGTGTTGAATTTGGCCTCATATTTTATCCTAAATTGCATTAAAATGTGGTCAATACTTTTTGTCCCATTTTAAATTCACTGTCTCATAATAAATCTGTTTTACAGTGTGATAACGATAAATGTTGGATATCTTTTAGTTTTGCATTTTTTGGTAACAGTTGTATTTACAGTTTTTGAAGGGATATTACACAAATCACTTGTATAATGAATACAGTAGAATATTGACACAAACCATGGGTATAACGTGTGAGGTAAAATAACAAAAAATCTTTAATTACATTGTGCCCAAGTGGTAAAAATCATCTTTCTTCCTTCTCCAAACCAGGAAGCTTCCATCTCGACGTCCTGTTTTCTTCAAAATCCCATCAGCAGCCCCTAGTTTCATGTCACGTGGGTAGAACCAGCTATAATTTAAAAGAGATATTTTACTTTTAAGGGGCTATTTAGTCAAATGACACCCTAAATATCTATATAGTACTCCACTGAAAATATATAACTTCTAACATGAGTATTCAATTTTGTAACAAGATTATAAAACAAGAGGCCCAGAGGGCCTGTATCGCTCACCTGCTCCTTTTGTAACATGAACTGACATATATATAGGTAACTTCAGACCAAATTTGGTAACTAGAACACAAGACATTTTAACATCTTTTAAACGTTTTTTAAGATATTGTTGTTTGAAATTCAAGTGAAATTTCAATTTTAAAGCTTTTAACCCACATTGACCTTTAACTCCAGCTAGCACTGACAGTTGACCTTTGACCTCATTACTGTGATAAAGGAAAAAGATTCACACAGCTTTATGTTTTATGACTAGTCCAAATTGTTCTTAGGATATTGTTGTTTGAAGTTTTTAACATATTTGATCCCTGTGTCCTTGAAACTAGGTCAAGGTCACTTTTATGAGGAAACTTTATAGCACTCCATCCCAGGTACCAACTTGCCAAATATCATGACCCTGGGCCTTATTGAACTTAAGAAGAAAATTGTTAAAGCTTTTAACCCATGTTGACCTTTGACCTCATTACTGTAATTAAGAAAAGGATTCGCACTGCTTCTACATATTATACTCAAGTATCATGACTCTAGTCCAAATGGTTCATAGGATATTGTTGTTTGAAGTTTTTACCATATTTGACCTCTGTGACCTTGAAAGTAGGTCAAGCTTATAGTTTATAGTCTTCCAACCCAGCATGCTTCTAGCAAAATATCATTACCCTGGACCTTTTGGTTATAAAGAACAAGTCATTGAAGTATTTAAACATATATTGACCACTGTGACCTTGAATACTGGCGAAGGTCATTCATTTGAACAAAATTGATAGTCCTTCATCCCAGCATGTAAATGGCCAAATATCATAACCCCTGGCCTTTTGCTTAGTAAGAAGTCGTTTAAAGGTTTTTAACATATTTTACCCCTGTAACCTTGAATATATGTCAAGGTCATTCATTTGAACAAACTTGGTAGTCCTTCATACCAGCATGTTACTGGCATTATCCTCGGCATCTTGGTTATTCAGAAGAAGTTGTTTAAAGGTTTAAAACATTTTTGACCCCTGTTACCTTGAAAAAAGATGAAGGTCATTCATTTGAACAAACTTTGTAGCCCTTCATCCCAGCATGCTACTAGCCAAATATCATCACCCTAGGCCTCTTGGTTATTTAAAAGAAGTTCTTTTAAAGATTTTTAACATATTCAACCCTTGTGACCTTGAATATAAGCAAAGGTCATTCATTTGAACAAACTTGGTATCCCTTCATCCGAGCATGTTACTGGCAAAATATCATCACCTTATACCTCTTGGTTATTCAGAAGTTGTTAAAAAGAAATTTGCAGTAGTCCTTTTCTCCAGCATGCTACTGGCCAAATATCATCATCATCTCAGGCATTTTGGTTATTCAGAAGAAGTTGTATGACAGGTTTTTAACATATTTGACCACTGTAACCATGAAAACGGGGTCAAGTTCATTCATTTGAACAAACTTGGTAGTCCTTCATCCCAGCATGCTACAGGTCCAATATCAGTACCCTGGGCCTTTTGGTTATTGAGAAGAAGTTGTTTAAAGTAAAATATTGACGCTGGAGGACGGACGGACGAAGAACGGACACCGTACCACGGCATAAGGAGAGGTGAGCTAAAATTGTAAGCTAACAAAGAAAATATCAATACAAACAACATACCTCAAGCAATATCTTGGATCAAAGATGTGCTGTTGATTTAAAATATTGTCAATGATTTCTGAAAAGACAATTGAAGAAATAAAGAGTCATTTCTTAGTTATTTCAAGGCTAAAAAATATTTTTGAACACCACTAGTTAATTGGGTTAATAGTTTCCATTTTTTTTTCAATTCTTGTGCAAATTCCACTTACCCAATATTATTATAAAAGATAAGCAATATCAAATTTTGACTATTGACTAGCAGTTTTACGACATCTCGCCATTCCGTGTTTATGAACATCTTTCATGAGTAGACTAGCATAAAATCGGTAAAAATAATTTATGATAAGGCTTCAAACTGTAAAGTGTGCGGACAGTCAAAACCATGTTGTTTATAATAAAAATCAAACTTCATCAATGTTGATCAACAGTATTCTGTACATACACCCAAACAGACGACAGTGGAAACAGTAAAATTGGTCACAAAGCGTGGTCATGCATAAAAGAGTTCCAAAGTTAAAATCACAACCTAGGATAGCTTCTTGGTTTAATGTTTTTTACAAGAGCTAGTATGGCTTTGAAAGTCGATCAAGAGATTTAAGAACAAAACGATAATTGCTGTTGATTACGTCGAGTTGAGGAGGTGTCAGGTGTCACATTTGGCTTTAATGAATCAACGTGTTACATGGATGATATAATCTGTTTGTGTGTGCTTTCATTTCCAGAATCAACTATGCGTACGCTCCATTACAGTGATTTGTTTAAGACTTGCGCACTTTAATTTCTGCATTGTATAGTACGAGGTAGGAGACAGCGGGATAGTTCGATTTTTAAATGTAACACTTCAGAAGTAAAACTTGACGGACTTGCAAATACAAATGTAGACCTGGAAAGACTTTGCCAAGATCTAGACTAGCCAAAAACAACAATTTAATAACTAGACCCGTCCATATTTAATAACGAATTCACAATGTGGTCCAAACGTTTTGATTGCGCTAAATGAAAGTACATTTTTCAGGAAATAACTACTCTATTTTTGTTAGTGTGTTTATTGTAAAATAACATACCTGTATTTGTTATATTGATTACGTATATCATTCATCGATTGATTACAAGCATTGGCTATTAATAAAATCAACAACTGCTAGTGCTTTGTCCAAACAGCAAATTTCATACCAAATTTATGAACCTGCATAACTCGAATACTCAGATAACACAAAGTTTTTCCACGACCCTGTCGACTTCGAGATAAAGAGGTTCGACTATAATCTATAAGGTGAACTGTCATTCAAAATAATCTACCAGGTGAACTGTCGTTTAAAATAATATATCAAGTGCAATGTCATTCAAAACTATATATCAAGTGCAATGTCATTCAAAATAATCTACCAGGTGAACTCATTCAAAATCATCTACCAGGTGAACAGTCATTCAAAATAATCTACCAGGTGCACTGTCAATTAAAATCCATCAAGTGCACTGTCATTCAAAAAACTCTACCTGGTAAACTGTCATTTAAAATAATCTACAAGGTGGAATATCATTCAAAATAATCTACCAGTTGAACTGTCATTCAAAATAATATATCAAGTGCACTGTCAATAGCAGGTTAAAACAGTCACTTATCATCCCTGTGTTATGATATATATTTATCATTCTATGCAGAATTTTGTTACAGACTCACCGTTTCCTATAAGGAAGGGTAAATATAAAGAGACATCGGGCAGTAAGTATCCTTCCCTTACTTTGTCCAGTAGTGCATAAGCTTGTATAAATTCCTCAATATGTACTTGATTATAATCAGTTTTGTGGAGAACTTCCCTACAAAGAACAAAACAAACTTGTTAACTTAACTCATACACACCAAAGTTTTAGAGGAGAGAGATTTATCATACCATGTCATGTCGGTGTTTGTGTTACAAAGGCAAGGTCCAGTAATTTGTGAATCAAACAAGCTGAGACCAACATCAACACATACCTATGTAGCATGTCATGAACAGTAAAACACTTAATGTTAGATTGCCTTGAACTTCAGCAAACACGGGAAACATTGTTATGATAATGTAACAAATCTCAAATCTCTTTTTAAAACAGTAAGTGTCGCTATCATTCTAAACTACCAGATAACTGTTGATCAGAGAGATATCAGTAATCATAGCCACTTTTACTGTTCAGTTGACACGTCTTTTATCCCTTTGTTTGTTTGATAACATTTCCTTTAGCGGCGTGTAATCAACATTTTATTGGTCCTTATAAGTACCTCTTGTTCCCTGATGGGCCATTAAGAATGTAGTCATGATAATAATCAAACAATTTAAGTTCTTAGCTATAAAGAAATGAGAAAAGATATATATTAAGTTTGTTGGGAACCAGGGATTAATGCAGGATTAGAAAGTTATACCCTTTTTTTGAAGAAGGGGTAAATATGCGCTATAGGAACATGACTCATCCAGCAATGGAGTAGGCCAGAGCCAGGGGGAGAAAACAAGAGGGGGTAGGCCAGAGCCAGGGGGAGAGAACAAGAAGGGGGCAGGCCAGAGCCAGGGGGAGAGAACAAGAGGGGGTAGGCCAGAGCCAGGGGGAGAGAACAAGAAGGGAGTAGGCCAGAGCCAGGGGGAGAGAACAAGAGGGGGTAGGCCAGGGCCAGGGGGAGAGAACAAGAAGGGGGCAGGCCAGAGCTAAGGGGAGAGAACAAGAGGGGGGTAGTGACAACATGAACACTGGGAAAATGAGATAAATCACTCAGTTGTCGAACTAAAGGAAAATAAAAACAAAATGGAACAAAGACAGATATTCATTTGGTAGTATTTTAGTTACTGGTACAAGTCGGGGAACTTTTAAGCTGAAATAGGGGGAAATAATGCCAAAATTGGAGAGGGGAATTGACCCATATTTAGCCATAAAAAAGGTCTGTATATATCTGTGGGTACTTACATGATTTGCTGGACAGCATAGATGCACACACCTGTCTGCAGCAGAATACTTGACAGACATTTCCCTATAGAACACAAACACATCACATGCATTCTCAACATGTTTATTCTGATTATATGAACTAGACAGGAAGTTAGAATGTTCCTACTGTAGCTTGAGAGTGTCTTAGCCATCTCATTACCTTATTGAACCAATAATAGCAAAACAATTGGTTAAAGCAAATAACGGAACGTTTTATGAAGATTTGTTAAAATTTGGTGAAATTGAGCAGTAATAAATATCTTGGACAATCAAATGATACTGGTGACCATATCAGATTTTGAAATCAATCTCACAAAAAACAGAATTTGTTTAGAATCAAGAAGGCAATATTTATTCATATCAGGTTTAATTACCACTGGTTTTAATGAAAATTGAGAAGAGGCAATAAATATGTCAAAAAATCAGGCCAAGGCCATAACATTGGTTAACTCTGGCGTGTAGGAACTGGAGAAGAACTTAAAGTGTTTGCCTAATTTCCCCAACGGGTCCTGCCCCTCTGGCAAAGCTTCCATTCCCCTTATATAATTATCATGTAGTCTTTAAACCCCTCCTCCCCCTTATTATCTCCGTCTCCTTATAACTTCATCCTCAGCTAGGGGGAAAAGATCTTCATTTACAAAGCATTTATGTAACATTGAATTATTTTGGTCCAAGGATGCTTCATACAGAATTACAGTTGTATAGCGTGCGCACACTGTGCATACATCGTTCACACACCGTCCGCACATCGTCCACACATGGTGCGCACAACTGTGCGATTTAGCAATTGTTCGCCCCGTTGTGCGCTTCTCTCCGCACAACTGTGCGTTTTGGTATCATTTGTAGATCAAAACTACGGAATGACAAAAATACGGAAGGCTTGTATGAGATAATGTACGCTGTGTATATATCTGTAATTTCTCATCACAATAATCAAGATTATACAATTTCACAATGCGTGTTACACAGTATTACAGCGACCATTAGGCTGTCAAGAATGGGTTTGGCTCCAAGGTAACAGAACAGGTAAATAACAATTTGATGAGTGTCCGGAGTTTTACCTGACCAGTGCCTGACACACAGAGTTGATATGCGATACCGTTTGACCGTAATGAATAGTATTTATTATTTGCATTCGTTTGCCTATAGCTTCCCTTCACCTGGATTTGCACATCCCCGGCCTTACCCGACGAGTTACGTAAGTGCCCCAGGCGGGGAGAAAACTACGGTCCAGGTACATGTACAAAGTGGTTATGTTTACATGGATACGGGATTGTGTTGTAATTTTACATGTGTCGATTAAGTTTGTTAAAAAACACGGAAAATACAATTTCTAAATATAAGAATGTATAGACAGAAAGATAAGTTTATAGATGTTGCTAGAATATAGAAACATACGTAAACATCAAGTTTATATGTTTAAACATGAAACCGTATATACTGTTGAGGCATTCCTCAATTTACACCAACCTATATTGTTATCGCACAACGTCCGTCCATCGTGCGCACATATGTGCGTAAGCAATGATCGTCCAGCTTTTTATCGTTCGCCCATCGTGCACACACCGTTCACACACCGTTCACACACCGTGCACACATCGTGCGCACACCGCACATCGTGTAACGTTGTGCGATCCCACAACTGTACATCAAAATTCCTGTCCCTTAACACTTTACGAAAATGTATAACTTGCAATTCCCGGTTCTTGCCCCAATCATACCCAATCAATTCCCCGTTCCTGCCCCAATTATACCAAATCAATTCACGGTTCTTGCCCCAATCATTCCCAATCAATTCCCTGTTCTTGACCCACTCATACCCAATCAATGCCCTGTTCTTGCCCCAATTATACCAAATCAATTCACGGTTCTTGCCCCAATCATAACTTGCAATTCCCGGTTCTTGCCCCAATCATTCCCAATCAATTACAACTCTGTTCCTGCCCCAATCAAACCAAATCAATTCCCTGTTCCTGCCCAAATCATACCCAATCAATGCCCTGTTCTTGCCCCAATTATACCAAATCAATTCCCGGTTCTTGACCCAATAATACCCAATCAATTCCCCGTTCCTGCCCCAATTATCCCAAATCAATTCCCGGTTCTTGCCACAATCATACCCAATCAAATACAACTCTGTTCCTGCCCCAATCATTCCCAATCAATCCCCTGTTCTTGCCCCACTCATCCCCAATCAATTCCCTGCTCCTGCCCCAATCATACCAAATCAATTTCCTGTTCCTGCCCCAATCATCCCCAATCAAATACAACTCTGTTCCTGCCCCAATCATACCAAATCAATTTCCTGTTCCTGCCCCAATCAAACCCAATCAATCCCCTGTTCTTGCCCCACTCATACCCAATCAATGCCCTGTTCCTGCCCCAACCATACCCAATCAATTCCATGTTCTTGCCCCAATCAAGCAATGATCGTCCAGCTTTTTATCGTTCGCCCATCGTGCACACACCGTTCACACACCGTGCACACATCGTGCGCACACCGCACATCGTGTAACGTTGTGCGATCCCACAACTGGACATCAAAATTCCTGTCCCTTAACACTTTCCGAAAATGTATAACTTGCAATTCCCGGTTCTTGCCCCAATCATCCCCAATCAAATACAACTCTGTTCCTGCCCCAATCAGACCCAATCAATTCCCTGTCCTTGCCCTAATCATACCCAATCACTTCCCTGTTCCTGCCCCGATCATACCCAATCAATTACCTGTTCTTGCCCAAATCATACCCAATCAATTTCCTGTTCCTGCCCCAATTATCCCAAATCAATTCCCGGTTCTTGCCACAATCATACCCAATCAAATACAACTCTGTTCCTGCCCCAATCACACCCAATCAATTCCCTGGTCCGGCCCCAATCAGACCCAATCAATTCCCTGTCCCTGCCCCAATCACACCCAATCAATTCCCTGTACCTGCCCCAATTATACCAAATCAATTCACGGTTCTTGCCCCAATCATACCCACTCAATTCCCTGTTCTTGCCTTAATCATACCCAATCAATCCCCTGTTCTTGCCCCACTAATACCCAATCAATTCCCGGTTCCTGCCCCAATCAGACCCAATCAATTCCCTGTGCTTGCCCCAATCATACCCACTCAATTCCCTGTTCTTGACCCACTCATACCCAATCAATGCCCTGTTCCTGCCCCAACCATACCCAATCAATTCCATGTTCTTGCCCCAATCATTCCCAATCAATTCCCTGTACCTGCCCCAATTATACCAAATCAATTCCCGGTTCTTGCCCCAATAATACCCAATCAATTCCCCGTTCCTGCCCCAATTATACCAAATCAATTCACGGTTCTTGCCCCAATCATACCCAATCAATTCCCTGTTCCTGCCCCAATTATACCAAATCAATTCCCGGTTCTTGCCCCAATCATACCCAATCAAATACAACTGCCAGGGGTACCATACCCTTTATTGGTACAAAATTTAATTCTCTTGGCCCAAAGGCCTCAGGAGGAGGAGGAGGGGGGTAATCATATAATCTATAAGACATCAGATATACATGTATGTCACCTACCTGTCATGGAATAAGCGGTATTTTTGCCTGCATATTCCATAAAAATCTTTTCATATTCCAACCTTTTTTCCACAGATGCGCTGAAAAGTATTAAAATTACAACATTATATTTTCCCTAAACAACAAGCAATCCTGTCAAGTTTTAGAATCCAAATGCAGGTGAAGCTGAACGAAAATACAGGTCATACATGTAGCACTATCAATGCAGGTCATCACACGAAAGGAGATGACTTCATATTTTGCTTTTTAGGCATTGATTTTAGTTTATACTTTGCATGCTTTTCTTACATTTTAAATTATGAAACAGGTTTGACTGCATACTTGATCCAATGACCTTCATATAGGGGGTCAAGGTCATTTAGTAACAAAGTTGTCCACCCCTAGGAAGGTACAGGCCCAAATATCAAGTTTACACCTTATAATTTATTTATTTTTAAAAGACATTTAAAGAAACGTTGATAAAGAAACGTTGATAAAGACAATAATCTTACCAGGACGTCCCACTGGTAAAGAACCCTTTCCGCTCAACGGTTTTAGATGCTGTACTCCTAGGCTTTTCTAAATGTAAGGAAATTTGATGATATACTTTGAACCTTCCATGTACGTAATTGTAAAATGTAATATTACTTGTTAAATGGTAAAACTGTCCAATGTTCTTCATATTTGCTCAATAGGTTTTCAAAATTCTATTTTAGAAGTAAATATTTAGTTCATGTATCATAGCCGGAGGTGAGCCCCTCCCTTTGTACAATCTGGAATCCCCACCACCTTGGGATGGTTAAACTCTTATCAATGGTTAAGATGAAGAAGTCGTTTGCAGAAATTGTTGAAGGACGGATGTAGGACAGGTGATGGACACTAGGGTATGGCATATGCTCACCTTTGGACCAGGTAAGCTAATAACAAATGCATATTTAAACATTTAAACATATTTTATTGATATAATCAAATGGATTGGGCACAAGTTATAACACCTTAAAGGTGTGGGGTTCTATAAGGTGTTATAACTTGTGCCCAATCCATTTGATTATACATTTTTATCAATAAAATATGTTTAAATCAACAAATGCAGATAACAATGCTTTGCATTTGCTTCAGTTTTATGATTTGTATCTTATTTTAAGGAAAATATACTCACAATACTCTGTAACTTATCATCTGTATATATTATATGTTGTACAGGGCCATATTGTAAACTAGACAAACATCTAAATGTGTTACTCTGTCTAAATAAAGAGAGGATCTCACATGAGTGTTCATGTCATATTGAAATTTATCAAACAAGTTCAATAATTTGACACAAATGTATAATTTAATTTATTGAACTAGATTAATCAATTCAATATGACATTTATACGAATGTAAGAATCTATTTATGACACATTTCATAATCTGAAAAAAAAATATTTAAACACAATAATGTGTTGTCAGCTGTCTCTATATAAGTAAAAACCAAAGTACTCCGATCATAGTATTGCCGTTGCATGTAATGAAAGTTGTTCTACTTTTTTTTTTAATAATGAACCGTCTTAAATGCAATGAAAATGATAATGATAGAATAACAGTAAATGGGTTAAGTTCCCACGATTTCGACCAATCGCAGCATCTTTAGGTTTTGTTACATGTGTGCAATACCATATTTATGACATGGGCGCTTAAAATTGTAAAATGGGTCAGTTATGTGATAATATACAATTATGGACTTCAGATGAGGTCTATCCCTGATTTACGAACCTGGTCTGAACAATAATCACTTCGGCCGTAGTGAATATTGTTCAGACTAGGTTCGTAAATCAGGGACAAGTCCACAGTTGTATATATAACATTTTTTGGCTTATAAAAAGTAATATCCCTTTCTCAGTTTTTTTAACTTACCATCTGCTAAATCCAGATGCCTCTGCTCGGCTTCTTTGAATACCTGTTAACAAGTAAATGCAGTCAGTGTATATAGATACAGGAGGCCCACAGGGCCTGTATCGCTCACCTGGATATTTAAGCAAAATATTGAATAAATATTATACTATACTACAAATATTACCAAATATTGGCCCTGTCTCTCAGCAACACCCTTATTACCGTATTGGCTCTGTCTCTCAGCAACACCCTTACCGTATTGGGTCCCATTCTCCTGTCCCCATTGGGATGGGGCATGGTTTATACAACATTGAATCATGTTGGCCCAATAATACTTTATATCAAACTAGATAAAGATAAAGCTATATGATAAAGTAGGTAAAGGTCATTTTCATTCACAAACTTTGTTGGGCTCAATCTAAGGAATTCAAAGCTACTTGTTAAATATCACGACTCCATGCCTTTCACTTCTTCAAAAGAAGCTGTTTTCAGTTTTTGCAACCCTTCGCAAACATTGTCGGGCTCAATCCCAAGAAGCAACCAGCCAAATAATATGATTCTATGCATTTAGATTATTCGGAAGAAGTCGTTTGATAAGTTTGACATATTTGACCCCTGTGAGCTTGAAAAGTGGGTCAAGGCAATTTTCATTTTCAAATTTTGTTGGACTTTTACCAACGAAGCTACCAGCCACCTATTAAGATTGTATACCTTTCAGTTCTTCAGAAGGAGTAATTTTTAAGTATTTGACACTTTTGAGCCCTGTGACCTTGAAAGGTCAAGGTCATTTTCATTCTCAAACTTTGTTCAGCTCTTACCAACGAAGCTACCAGCCACATATTAAGATTCTATACCTTTCAGTTCTTCAGAAAAAGTCGTTTTAATTATTTGACAACTGTGACCTTGGAGGTAGGTCAAGGTCATTGTTGTTCTCAAACTTTGTTGGCGTTTAACCAACAAAGCTATCACCTATATATCATGACTCTAGCTAGGCCTGTCCATTCCTCAGAAGTTGTTCAAAGGAAAAGTTGTGGACGATGGACGGACGGACGGACGACAGATGCATGCTGCACCATGGCATAAGCTCACTCGGACAGGTGAGCTAATAATAAGGAGATACTCGATACAGTTGTATATATATTTTTTCTACACTTCTCTTTGTCCATCTGTCTACAAAGTATTATGCATTGTTAAAACAAGAGTACCGAAGGGCGGCACTAAGTAATTTTTAAGTTTGGGAATTGACCAATTCTAATCAGAGCACACTATGCTTATGTATGCACAGATTTTGATTAATTTTAAACTTTAACCCAATTACAAGTCTTCATATAATGTACATGCACACCAAGTTTTATCAAAATCAAACAATATTTATGAAAGTTATCTTGCAGAAACAAAAGTTCATTAATTGACCAATTAGACCACAGTAGTTTAATTAAGCGAAGATTTTGATCATGTTCAAAATTAGCCTCAGTTTTTGTATGATGAACATGCATTCCAAGTTTCATCAAATTGAACTATATTTAAGTAAGTTATCTTGCAGAAACCAAATAAAATTCTGGAGGCCTATTTAGGAAATCAGGTCAAAATTCGCCTGGCAAACAAAGTGTCATTTTGTATTTTTAGTTTTAAACTACCAAAATACTTACACAAAGTGATGCCTTGTCATGTCGGTGAATAACAAGAAATACATCTTCAAGTGATTTTCTGCTTGGAAAGTTTGCAAGGGCTTCAAACAGAACATTAGCTATGTCGATTTTTTGATATCCAAGTGCACCCGTTCCAAACGACGGGAATGATATAGACTTTGCCCCATGGTCACAAGCTGTCTGCAGACAATCATTGATGAATTTGTGTACAGCCTAGAAAACATGCATCAAACAAGTCTGAGTAAAGATTGTTTGTAAAGAGACTTGTACTTATAATAATAACATGTGGAAGATCAACATGTAAAGTCTACAATTACCATGTTTTTATTGTTCTTTATAATTCTTTTCTTTCAAATAAAAGTTTCATTTTTATACATTTATGTCCTGATATCTAACTTCAAGAAATGTATTTGATATTTTGAGGTTCTACATCCCGAACTGTGACTAATACAATAGATCACCCCTGTGTAATGTTCAAAGAAATGCCAACTTGATGGCAAGATTTTGAGGTTTAACAATACTTAGGGGTTACTCTCATTTCTATTCTCCGCACCCCTGGAATATGTCATAACAAAATTGAAGGCTTAGAGTACATGTGCGCCACATTGTGGATGAGACGAAAAAACTGGTTTGATTGTTTGACGTACATCAGAAGAATCTGTCAGCCTGTGAAGGCTAAATTGACTGGCTTTGAAGTTGGGTGTTGCTTCTACTTAATCTTTAAAGGACACGTTTGATTTTTTTTAACTGAAACCAATCAAATCGCTAGCCACATGCTTTCAACTTTGCTAGGACACATTCCGGGGGTGCAGAGAGTGAACGTGATTGTAATACAGTACATTTCACCTAATATCACGTCTGTTTATGTCACTTTTCGGTTATTATCATGTTTTTTTGATGCACCGTTTTTCCTGCTATATAATCTATGCAATTCAATTCTTTTATTATCACCAGTTTTTATGTTGATTTCTCTTAATATCACTTTATTTTGGCCACTGTCCCAAAAAAAATACAGGTAAATGGTGGTAATGATTCATGATAAATGCCCTGGGGACCTTCTGTCACACCCTGGACGCATTATGTAAACAATGCCTTGACCTAACAGGGTATTTTTTACACCTGACTGACTGTCAAACAATAGGTTACACCTGGCTGACTGTTAAACAATAGGTTGACTTACATACTTGTTAACATGATATTCACCTGTGATTGGGGAGCTAGGGCAGTCTAACATCTGTAAACTTTTCTAATGCCAAGTGTGATGTATTCTTTCAACTAATTATAACATGTGTAACTATCTTCGATTACACACTTGCAGCAAATATCTAAGGAAATTAACCCATAAAAAGATGTTACTAGAGAAAGAACAGTATATATATCAAGATATAGGTAAATATTTACCAAGTCTCATGTTTACAATTGAATTTGATGCAGAATACCAGCCAAACACTTGTATGCCTACATCACTACTGCAGTAAACAATCATAATTACAATCGTACTGATCGTCATTTTGCTACTTAACAATATGAAATGTAACTGCGTACTGAAATGAAATACAAATAATAATTTTTTTTCTATACTTATATCTATATTTCAACTAGGGTATAGAACAAGGTAAGTTACAAAATATCAATCTTCTTCATAGAGCCACATCACTTAGGCATTTGCCTAAGTTCACTTCCGGTTTTGAGGGTTGAAAAACATCAGAAAATATGTATTCTGTTTATGTCATGTTTCGGTTAATATCATGTTTTTCTCTGACAAATGGGAAGTGATATTAAGAGGAATCTACTGTACCAGGTGTATCAAGGATGATCATGCTTAAACTGTCGCAAATTGAGTAAAAAGGATATTTGCGACAGTATAATCATGATCTACCGCCACAGATCACAAATTACAATAGGATTATCTCCAGTCTAATTCATATCAGGTAAAAGCCACCAAAAGAAACAACAATTTTAAGATATTTTGTGATTTTTCTTCTTCATGACGTAATCAATAATCAATTTGATGACATGTAGGAGTCATTACCGGTCACTGAGGTCATGTAGGAGTCGTTACTGGTCACTGACGTCATGTAGGAGTCATTACGTGTCACTGATGTCATGTAGGAGTCGTTACTGGTCGCTGACGTCATTAACTATGGCTTATATTATTATAAGGATGAAACACTACAAATGATGCCAAACATTAAATAATTACCAGTGAGCCGAAAGTAATGTGGAGATGGTGACATTTTCAGACTAGAAGAGCATGTCACTGTTTTCCTAGCAAAAAAGGAATGTACCAATGGAGTGTGGAATAAATAGTATCCCAACACTGTCAAATGTCACATCTGTTAACCACAAATAGTATCCCAACACTGTCAAATGTCACATCTGTCACAAATAGTATCCCAACACTGTCAAATGTCACATATGTTAACCACAAATAATATCCCAACACTGTCAGATGTCACATCTGTTAACCACAAATAGTATCCAAACACTGTCAGATGTCACATCTGTCACAAATAGTATCCCAACACTGTCAAATGTCACATCTGTTAACCACAAACAATATCCCAACACTGTCAAATGTCACATCTGTTAACCACAAATAGTATCCCAACACTGTCGAATGTCACATCTGTTAACCACAAATATATCACTTTTCGATAAGCTAAACGGTTAAAAAATGCAGACTTACATTTAAATTGCTTGGCTCTGTATACTCAGGAATAGTGCCAAAGAGCACACTGGAACATTTCAGGTCACCTTGCACTGGTATGACAACAATCTGTCCATCTTTAAGTCCATCTGGATACTTTCGGTCTAATGTCTTTTGAAGCTCTAGACCCCCAGCCAAATAAATGGATGTGGACAAAAGACCTCTAGCAAGAGATATTCTGGAAACTTGGCGAAGGGCACACACAATCATATCACTCTGAAACAGAAGAGACAAATATAATACTCACAGCAGTACTTTGTCTGACTCATGTTTTGCAATGTACTTAATTTTACGGACAATGGGCCTACAGCTTTGTGTTGAACTAAAGAGGATATATTTGGTACAGTTTGTACTTCAACATTGATACAATCATTTATGGAATTAATACTCCTGTGAGATTTAAATTTGAAAACAAGTTTCCTCGAAAATCAATGACGAAATTGTTCTAAAGTGATGACAAAGATGAGAAAGTAATCAGATAATCTTACCTCGGCCTTCTCAATGTTCCCTATCTGGATTGTCACTCTCAATCCACTCTTCTTCAAAACTGAAGATGAACATAAAGTTGAATATAAAATACAATAAAACAATGGCATACAAGGATTGAAATATGAACATTTGTGATGCTTACAAACATACAGGCATGAAGGTACATTATCTAGTTCTTGGTTTGTTTTCCAGTACATCATATACATGTATATATACAACATGCATTAAATGTGTTTGGAAATAAATAAAAAATAATATTTTGACTAGTACACTGTAGATTTATTTATTAAAATGTATATGTCGTAATCTCAGCATTTATAACAAAAACTCTAGTTAATACTAACTGACCATACCGACACCAAAACATGCACATCTTCAATCATCAAGGAATAGGTCAATTATCTTTCATGGATGGTACTTGGGTAATCTAGTGGATGACTTCTTTGTGAAAGTGTGCATTGACGTATATGGATGTATACAGGAATACATGAAATGCTCATGCATTCCTCAACTAGCTAGTTGCTTTCGTGTATGCTTTTTGCTAGTTGAAATGGTTCAGGTAGCACAGAAATATTTTCCTCGACTAATGAAACATGTGTACTATATTTGATAGCATCAATTGTCATGTGAATCAAACTTGTTTTATATGGAAATGATGCAAACTTTCAAAAGTTGTGATTCTTTCAAGTTCAGCCAGTTAAAGCAGTTGAACCAGATACCCAATAGTAGCCATAGCCCCAACGAACCATGTAAAGGGAGATAATCCAATTACAAATCGCAAAGTCTGTAATACAAACAGACGAACAACAACAACAACAACAAATTCTTATTATTTTTAGTCCAACTAGGATGACCTGTAGTGTTGACCTTTGATTTCCATATTGATGATTACAGGTAAGTTGATAAACAGATAAGGAGAAAAGTTTTTTTAACTACTGCATGCTGTGATTTATTTTTCATTGTTTTTGTGTATAAACCTTGTTAAATGCCTGTTGTTTTCTGCATGCTGTATTATATCCTGTTTTTATACGACTCTAAATAAAAATTTGTGTATCTTGTATCTTGTATATCTACATTTACATTGTGTATTACAGGTATATGTGACACTACATTTACATTGTGTGTTACTGGTAAATGTGACACTTAAACCAATTAAGGAATATTTCATGAGTCAAGAGGTTATAATGACTAAATAGTTGTCATCCCTGAGCATATTCAAATTGTATTATAACAACTACAGACAGTACTTCTGTTACCCAGGGACCAGCATCAGTAAACTCAACAAATATTAACAAATAAACCATAAACACAATATCTTCCAAATTTCTGCACTGCATGAACATTCTTGTATGAAAAATCACTATTATATCAGAAATCACTTGTAGATATGATGAACTATGGAAAACAACAGCTGACAGGATTACTGACAAATGGTCATTGTGCATGTATGATTGATGGTACACCTGAACATCAGTGAACGGGTCACCCTAATGAGTGTCCTCCGGGTAATGAGTGTCCTCCGAGTGTCCTCCGAGGTTTTTGCGCGCCCGCGAGTTCGTTATAAGATTTATTTCACTTATTTCTTCTGATTCCTAAATATTGTTCATATATCTAGGTGTGTGCAAAATTTAAGTTCGATCGTAACAGTACAAAGTACCGAAATACGTCGATAAAAATGCATATTTGGGAAGAATGAGTGTCCTCGAAGGTTTTTGCGCGCCCGCGAATTCGTTATTAGATTTTTTGCACTTTTTTCTTCTGATTCTTAACTATTGTTAACTTACCTAGGTGTGTGCAAAATATCTGGTTGATCATAACAGTAGAAAATACCGAAATACGTCAATAAATACTATTTTCAAGAGGGTGGATTGAGTGTCCACGGAGGAATGAGTGTCCACGGAGGTTTTCGCGCGCCCGAGAATTCGTTAATCAATATTTTTTACTTCTGTTTTCAGATTCATAAAGATTTTCCATTTACCAAACTGTGTGCAAAATATCAGGTCGATCATAACAGTAGAATGTACCGAAATATAAGAAATATTCTGATAAAAATATGCGAACTATTTCACAACAGGCATTACTTAAGGGAAGTAACTCGTACGGACCTAACTGTAGAACTATTAGTATTAGCCACGGGCTTTGCGACGAGGACGCAGTTCTACATAAGAGCCCATTTTATTTTATTTTATGATTTAATTTTTAACTAATTGCCATTTATTTCAAACAATTACATTATGTTTTCAATATTTTTGTATGTATTATTTCTGTCTCTAATTTTATGTTCTAAT